TTTGCCCAAAGATAAAAACCTACCAAAAAAAAAAAAAAAAAAACTTTAAGGGAAAAAATGTAAGATAAAGTCTTCCGGATCTAGAGCTAGCTAAAGAGTTAAATTGTAAAATGTAATACCAAAAGCATGGCCCATAAGAGGAAATGCTGACCAGTCAGATTTGGTTAAAACCACAAGTCTGTCTTCGGCAGGAGACCGAGGAAGAGGGCGGGAAGATGAGCTGGACTAGGGCTAGGGAAAGGTGCCGTGAAAGGCCGCATGTCAGATCTTGCAGATGAGCAGTGCTTGCAAACCACCGCCAGGAATCAAGTGCTATTTAGAAAATGTAATGAGCTCTGGTATCCCTAATGAGGAACAATTCAGCTAGAAAACGGATAAAAGAATATATGAGGTGGGGTCTTCAAAAAGTTTATGGAAAATGCACATTATGAAAAAGCTATGCCTGGGTTTTAAAATGTTTTCACCAAAATAAACTTTAATCCCATTTTCCATGAACTTCTCAAAGTCCCTCCACCCACATTGAAAGGTGTCTAGCATCACTTGTCACAGGGAATGCAGATGGAAATGAGGTGTCCCTGCACACTCACCCAAAAGGCTGTATTTGTTAAAAGTGCTTGGAGGGTGTGTTCAAACCCGCCAGGAGTTAGGTCTGGGGCGACAAGGGGCCAGCGTCCTGGAGACCAGCTTTGGCTCCCACTCCAGGCTGAATCAAGGGAGCAGCTTGCTCCTGCAAGCAGGTGGAGGGGACGAGCCTGCTGCTCCAGGCGGGCAGCTGCAACTCCCTGAAGTTTCCTTCCCCAGACTGATAAGGGTGGCGGGCTGTCCTGGTCTAACCAGTCCTCAGCGCCTGGCGAGCGAGCCCCTAGCGCCTGGGAACAGACCGACAGGTTGCGCTGCGAGCGCCGTCGCGGCTGCAGAGAGGACCCTGTGGGCCCTGTGGAGTGGATTCAGCTCGCTGATCCCGGCCGGGCGCGGGGAGCCGCGGGCCCACGCCGTGCACACGGCGGGCTCTCAGCGACCTCACACTCGACGCTGGTGACTGTGGTCCTTGGCCAAAGTCCCCGGGGCAGACTGGAGCCAGCCGCGCGCTGCAGGGTTGGTACTCGCCTCCGCAGTCCCCAGGGCGCCTGCAGACGAGATTCGCCAGTTCTGCCCCAGGCGGGTGGAGGCCGACCCGCCAGGCGGCTGGAGAACAGGTGCGCGGGGTGGGGGATGAGGGCGGGGCAGGGGCGGAGGGTGGCGCTGCCCCGCGACGCTCCCGGGAGCCCTGGGCGCCTCGCGCACTGCCGGCCCTCCACTGGAGCAGGGTTTTAGGGATGTCACCTTGTATGTGGGACTTTCTGGCTGGACTCTCCCTGCAGGTACCGTCGAGGGTCTCTGTCTTCTTCCGGACGTCTGCGGGGACTCTCCGCAGCCCCGCGCTCCTCGGAACCGCTGCCCCCGCGTCCCTCCCTCGCCCAGGCCTGCACCGACAGTGACAGCGGGGCGCCAGCCTCTCCAGGTCTCTGTTTTGTTGGCTCCTCGGCCCCCAGTCTTTCTCTTGTGATGTCGCGAGTTTCTGCCACCCCAAGCCCTTCCTCACACGGGCCCAGAGTAGTTCTGGTGAAGTCCCAGGGAAAGCCGAGACTCCCAGAGACCGCAGAGACCGCCCCACTGTTCTGGCGGCACAGGCATGGCTCAAAAAACATGATTAGGCCTGGTAGTTAAGGGAATGGAATCCCCCCTGGAAGACTGCGGTTGGAATCCCGGGGGCTTCCAAAACAGGCGGGCCCATGTGCGGTGTCCCAAATCCTAACAGAGAGATGGAGGAGGCGAGCTATGGGAGGGTGCTTTCGCCCTCTCTCTGCCTGTCTGGCAAGCGCTGCAGCTCTTTACGAGGTTAATACAAAAGGCACAAACCATTTGTCAAGCAGCCACTCTGGTGCAGAACCTTCTCTGGGTGAAGATACAAGTCTGCCGCCTGTCTAGATCATGCTGCCCACCTGGCTTGCCTCACCACACACCCTGGGCACCCCTTCAGTGCTCCAGAGGGCACGTGTTCTCCAGAGAGAGATGAGAGACGGAGAGAGGCTCCACCCCTGCCTGGATAGAAGTGGTCCCGCTGCGGTCCCTTCTCTTTTCCTCCATCCTGTGAGGATTTTGAGGGCACTCACCCAACCTGTCCTGTCTTTTTTTTTTTTTTAATTTTATTTATTCATTCATTTATTTTAATTTGACCAGAGAGACACACACAGAGAAAGAGAGAAAGTGAGAAAGCAAGCCACCAGGTCTGGGACTCAAACCGTGGTTCACCATGTGGGAGTGTCCAGCACCTTAACCACCACGGCACCTACCTGTCCCCTTTATTTATTTATTTATATATGTATGTATGTATGTATGTATTTTCCTGTCCTGTCTTTCACACTGCTGGCTGGGATTCCAGCTGCCTCCAGAAGCCCTGTGGGATTTAACCACAAGGCCCTGGGGCCTGCTCTATATGGAATTTGTAATAAACATAGAGCATTTGTACCAGTGGAGCAGCGTGAAGAACATCCCTGGCCGCCCAAACCATAGGCGTGTCCTGGGGGCCCTGGGGTGGCATCCTGGGCAGAGAAGTGACAATTGAGTTGGGGAGGAGCATAGCCCCCCCCCCATAGAGAAATCCCCTCTACCTCTTAGTCAGGCTTCCCTGCTCGGCAGCAAACCAGACTCCATCCCGTGGTCATTAGCCCAGTGGCCTGGGCTGGTTTTCCAGGGGTTGCTTTCTGCTGCTTACTGAAACCGTTCTTTGACTGAAGCCTGGTCTTCTCTGAAACGTCTCTAGCGTCTGGAAACCTGTAATTTGGCAGGAGATTCTTCTATGAGGCTTTTCTCTCTCCACTCAGCAGACATGGCCTTGGAATGCCATCAGGATTGCCGGCGGCACAACAATGAGGAATAGGGGCCAGCATGTGGTGTGGTGGTTAAGACGCTGGATTCCCACGTGGCCGACTGCGGTTCGAGTACTGGACCTGTTGGCTTGAAAATCACAACAAATAAGTAGATAAATAAATAAATGAAGGTTTAAATAAAAAATATATACAATGGAGGAATAGATCCTGCCTTCTAGATGGGCCATGTCCATGCTCTCTCCACTCCCAAAGGCCGAGGTCTCTGTGAGCCCCAGGCCACCTCCTCCCTTCCCTGACCTCCCTCTGTCCTGCCCCAGCATGAAAAAAACTACAGTGCATCCTGTGTCTGTCTTCGGCCTTGCCTGCGGTGGAGGCACAGCTCGACCCTAAGCCCTGGCCCAGGTGTGTTGGAGAGGGAAGGCCTGGGGACACCTGACTTTGCACTGGCACTCTGCCCGGGGGCCCTGAGGGAAAGGTTCTGATCTGCCCGTCCGGCCTATCTCGTGACACTGTCTCAGGACTTCGTGTACTTCTGCTGCCCTGCAGGATTAATCAGACTCACCTGACCCCCTCCGCCCTGAAGAACCGCAAGGAGGGTCTGAAAGTCCAGGGCTCCAGCTTCACACTGGAAGGCTTTCCGTTCCTGATCGTGGCGGGCACCATTCACTACTCCCGGCAGTATTGGAGGGACCGCTTGCTGAAGCTGAAGGCCTGCGGCTTCAACACCCTCACCACGTGAGTGCTGGCTCTTGCCATCCTTCCACGACTCTTAGTTTGAATCCTAGCTCTGACACTCGATGAGGCCAGTCTAAGGCTGGCTCTTTCAGTCCTTTCTTGGTGGTTCTTAGGATGCCTGAGACACTCCCTGAGTCGGGCCTGCTTTGATGTTCTGAGACGCTCCCTAAGTAGGGCCTGCTCCAGTTCCTTTGAAAGGCCTAACAGGGTCACTGTGGCCTGGACTGATTTCTACCTTCAGTGACAGTGGCACATACAGGTGGCTGCAGCCCAGCAGGTCCCAATCTACCGAAGACAACTACTGGGGCAGCTGGCCTCAGGCTTCCTCTGGTATCTCCACCTGCCACAGGGGTCACAGCAGCAGGCCGTGAGTCCCAGGATATGATAATGCTCTAGAAAAATCTTGTCTTTGAAGATGAGTTTCACTGGGACCAGCGATTGGTGTAATGGCTATGTTGCTGGACTCCCATGTAGTCAACCACGGTTCGAGTCCTGGACCCCGTGGCTTAAACTTATCACAGGCACGTGTACTTGCGTGCTCAAGCTCCCAAGAGGATAAGGGAGGAAAGAAATTGTGGCGTGGCCAACTCCCCTTCAGGGTGATTTCTCACTTTCTTTCTCTCTGTCTCTCTCTGTCTTTCTTGTGAGCACACACACCCTATAGCAAAAACCTCTCAAAAAAAACCCCCAAAAAACAACAAAAAAAAACCCAAAAACCAAAAACCAGAAATGAGTTTCACTGAGAATTAAGCCTGGCAGGTAATCATCTTTGTTCTAGAAGCTGAAATAAAAAAAAGAAAATAAGAAATTCTCTCTATCCTTTTAAGCTTAGAAATTGCTTATCTATTATTGCTTCGATATTTGGTTTTAGTTGTGTCTTCTTTTCAAATGGTTTGATTTTTTAAAATACGGTTTAGAAGAAAAACATTTGAAATTTAATTTGATAAGTGATGGCAGATGCTGTTTTAAACAATTTCCTCCTAAATTATTATACCATAGTACTTTTTATTTGTAATTTTCTCTCTTTTTTCCCTTATTGTTTCATTGCTTTTATGTAGCAGTGATGCGCTGACAGTAATAACCTGGACTATTAAAATTTCATAACACTGGGACCAGCAGTTGGCGTAATGGCTATGTTGCTGGACTCCCATGTCGTCGACTGCGGTTTGAGTTCCAGACCCAGTGGCTTGAACTCACGTCAGGCACATGTGCATGCATGCTCAAGATCCCTAGAGGAGAAGGGAGGAGAAGGGATTGTGGTGTGGCCATCCCCCTGGGGGGTGATTTCTCACTTTCTGTCTCTCTGTTTCTCTCTGTCGTTCAGGCAAGCACATGCGCCCCATAGCAAAAACCTCTCCAAAAAATTTTTTGTTTTCATAAAACACTTGTGGTCTGAATAGGACTGCCAAGTATCTTCTTTGTTTCTCCTCTGCTTGCTTAGAAAAGTAAAATATCAGGCCAGCAGGTGGCGTGACGGTTAAGGCTGCTGAATCCCACATAGCTGACCTGGCTGTGATTCCTGGACTCACCAGCTTGAAAATCACACTGGGCACGTATGCCTGTATGCCCCAAGTCCCAAGACAAGAGTGGAGAAGAAGTGATTGTGGTGTGGCCATCCCCCTGGGGAGTGATTTCTCACTTTCCCTCTCTGATGAGCACATGTACCCTACCACGAAAACAAAAGAAAAAAAGAAAAGAAAACCAGCTCGGACAGAAAGAACCAGCCCCAACATTTCTGGTGTGCAAGGCGGACGTAGATAAAGCCAGGTGGAAAGTGAACAGGAAGCACGGTTTTCCCGGGTGGCAGACATAAAACAGCGTCATTGTCCTCTCCTTGCTTTCTCACCAATGACACCCCCAGACTTTTTACTATACCCAGCAACTTTCAGGGAGGTGGTTGCTAAACTAACCTTAGTTAATCCCCATGTCCTCTAATCTTGTGTCAGAAACCTCCAGCATTTCAGAGTTGATCCCTGCTTCCTCTGCACTGCCCTCGAAGCCCTTGGCTGGAACCCAGACGTCACACCTCCCTGCTCTCCTTCCCATCATGACACGTACATTTCGCAGGTTCTGTGATCCCACTGCCGCCCGGAAGCCGGCAAATTTGATTATGACGGATGCTAGATTTGTGCTTCTAAGCCTTTGCCTGGTTTCTTCTTACCAACAACAACAACAAAAATACTGCAGGAGCCAGCCTATGGCGATGTGGTTAAGGCAACTAGATCCCACATGGCCAACTGCATGGTTCAAGTCCCAGACTTGGTGGCTTGAAACCCACTCGGCACGTGTGCATATGTGCCCAGAATCCAAATAGGAGGGAGCAGAGAAGGAGGGAATGTGGTGTGGCCCTCTCCCACTGGGGTTGCTCTCTCCCCTCCTCTCCCACTCTCTGTGTCTCTCAGGCAAGGGGATACATTTTGTGGCAATTTTTTCTTTTCAAGATTTTTCTTTTTCATTGTTTTTCAGATATTTAATATTAATATGCTATGATATAGTTTTATTTAAAGTCCTACTGGTGATTTGTTGATTTTTATTTTTAGAGGGAGAGATTTTTGCTACAGGGCATGTGCACTCACCAGAGAGAGAGAGAGACATAAAGTGAGAAATCACCCCCATCCTCCCAAAGAGGGGATGGCCACACCACAATCCCTTCTCCTCCATTCTCCTCTTGGGTTGTGGGCCCTCAAGCATATGCACCCAAAGTGAGTTTTAGGTCACCAGGTCTAAGACTTGAATGATAGTCAGCCATGTGGGAGTCCAGTGACATAACCATTATGCCATCTGCTGGCCTCTGGTTTATTGATATTTATTATGGGTCATATTTTCCTGTTTCTTTGCTTGCCTAATAATTTTTCCCATTGATGCTGGGCATTAGGAATCTTATGTTATTGGTTGCTGGAATTTATCTTATTCATTTAAATAATATTGTATAATGCAGTACTATAAACTTCTCAGCTTTCTTTTTTTGTTAGAGTTAATTATTTTTGGCCATTATAAATATAGATTTAATTTTTCATATGTCTTCATGTGCATTTAAAAATTTTTTGTAGCGGGACCAGCAGTTAGTGTAATGGCTATGTCGCTGGATTCCCATGTAGTTGACTGCGGTTCGAGTCCTGGACCCAGTGGCTTAAACTCATGCCGGGCACGTGTGTGTGCGTGCCCAAGATCCCAAGAGGAGAATGAAGGAGAAGGGATTGCGGTATGGCCATCCCCCCTGGGAGGTGATTTCTCTCTTTCTGTCTCTCTGTCTCTGTCTGTCTTTCTGGCGAGCGAACGCGCACTATAGCAAAACACCTCTCCGGGAAAAAAAAAAGAAAAAAAATTTTTTTGTAGCTGTACTCTGAGGATGTTACATATACACCCATCTTACCTGAAGTCCAGAGTCATGGGAAACATTGGCTGCTTGGACCTCTGCTGGGCATAGAGGAGGGAAAAATTGAAGACAATACATAGAGCACATGTAGGGATTTGGCCATTGAAATCTTTATCCTCTGTCATGGTGGAGATAACGGACTTTAGTGAAATTGCTGTCTTAAAATGGGAAGAATCAATGAGGAATCAGGTTATGTAAGGAGTGAGGTTCTTACGTTTCTCTTTTCCCCCCATTGCAGGCATGTTCCCTGGAACCTTCATGAACCAAACAAGGGCCAGTTCCATTTCACTGTAGACTTGGATCTCAGGTCTGTGTTCGTGCTGAAAGTGATTCTGTGGCTCAGAGACAGGGCTTTGATTGTGAGGTCAGATGAAGCAGTTGGGGGTGCCCTACTCTTTGCTTTGAAAACCATCAGGAAGCTCTGATTCCGTTTCCTGGACTGAAGCCCCCTGAGCCAGTGGTTGGTTATTTACAGTGGAGTGTAGACCATAGTGCCTTACTTTATTAGTACGCAGTGTGGTGTAGAAACTGCTCTTGCAGAGCTCTGCAGTTCCGGTCTATCATGAAGAGTCGCCTGTTCAGGTAGAGGGGGAGCTTTCTCAGCTATGGTTTATAGTTTCTCAGACGTGCCTGAACAGAGGCCCTCTTTATTCAGACACGTGTATTTACCACCCTCTGCAGTTCAGACATTGTCTTTGGTGCTGGAGATGAGCAAAATGCACAACAGAATAAAACACTTGTGTGCTTTTGAGAAGGATTTTCTGCAGAGAGGGCGGCAAATACCATATCCTCAGGCTAGATAGCTCTAACTAGGGAAGAGCCCAGGGAAGACCATGGTGAATGAGTGGGAAGCAGGGTGGGCGCAGAAGAAGTTAAAGTTTGGAAATGGTCAGGAGAGGGAATAGACATGATTTGGTGCCTGACTCACAGTAAGGGTGAGGAGGAAGGAGGAGCGACGATGACTTGTGGGTTTCTGCCTGCAGTGGCCTCCTGGATGGTGGCGTAAGCCTCTGAGAAGGCACAGGGCAGGGATACATTCAGGCGGGAAGGCTGGAGTTAGATTTAGGATTTCAGGACTTTGACTTCTATGTCCTTCTCTGTAGTGGCTTGACAGAGCCCGTTTCTGCCTGAGACCTGGGCCCTTGTCCCCCTGGGTCATGTCTCCTGCATGAACTTTTGGGGGCCAGGCTGGGAGTGTCACTCAAGCCAACTAAGGAGAAAGCAAGGAGAGGGACCGCACGATCCCAGGTCTGAGCTTCTCATAAGGTATCATTGTTATTGGCTTCCTAGGACCTTTCTGGCCATAGCCTCGGACGTGGGACTCTGGGTCATTCTGTGTCCAGGTCCCTACATCGGCAGCGACTTAGACCTCGGAGGTTTGCCCAGGTGAGTTGTGCTCCGAGGGCTCCTGGCTGTGACTGCCCACAAGCATGCTCAAATGCCAGTTAGAGCGAGGTGTCTGCTTTGTCTTTTTTTTTTTTTTCTCTTTTTATTGCCAGGGGGTGTATGTGTTTGAGAGAGAGAGAGAGAGAAAGAGAGAAGGCATTCTCCCCAATGGGGTGTGGTCACACCACAATCTTTCTTCATTTTTTTTTTTTGAGGTTTTCGCTATATGGCGCGTGCGCTCGCCAGACAGACAGAGAGAGACATAGAGACAGAAAGCGAGAAATCACCCCCCAGGGGGGATGGTCACGCCGC